CAACCAGACAGGAACCCTTCAAGCAGGAGCTGGAAGCCCGGAAGGATGGGCTGAAACCTGTGTCAGTCCTTTTGCCTCTGACCTCAGGACAAGTGTATCCTGCAGACACTGAGCTCTCTCACGGAGCCACATACAGATGTAGTTTGTGAGAAGGCAAACAAAAACTGAAGAGTAGTCCAGGCCAAGTGGAGAGATTTTAGGTCCAACTCAAACAAAAGCCAATGCCATTAGTGGTTTCGCCTCATAGCAGCCCTCCATCGGGTTTCTGGAGCTGAGACTCTTCAGCGGAGGAAGCTGGGCACCTTTCTCATTCACTTGGAGCCAGTGGTAGATTCAAACTTCCAGGGACAGGTATGCAGTTCTTGGTCAGTAAACACCACACGGTACAAACATCACCACCTGAGTGTCAAGCTGCTTTATGTCGAAGATATGAAGTCAGCTAAAAAATAGCTCCTTCCTACCTTCTCTTTTCCAAGTCTCAAAGGAATCTGCCTGGTGGTCCACTCAGTGCAGAAACCTACCAAAAAAAAAGATAATCTGAGAAATGTGGTAGCCATGTTGACACATTACACCACTAACACAAAGGTAGAAGGGGGGAAAAATACATAAACAGAGCCACATAGACAACTTCAAAGCAGGCTATGTGTAGCTGGAGTTTCTAAGGGAGATAAGAGAAGGATAGGATAGGAGAGAATACGTAAGGAAGTAATGAAGAAAACATTCCCAAAAGTAATGAAAACTGTCACCTCACAGACCCATGAAGCTCGGGGAACTTCATGCACAAAACTCTAATGAAACCTGTATCAAAGCCTTGGTGACGGTGGTGGTGGTGTTGTTATGTGCCATCGAGTCTCCTGCGACTCATAGCGACCCTATGTACAACAGCCCTAAACTCTTATCTTAAGCCAACCTTATTGTCTCTGACTCACCTACCCCTATTAACCCAGTCACTGAATCAATCCATCTCATTGAGGGTCTTCCTCTCCTGCTCTGTCCCTCCACCCTCCCAAGCATGATGTCCTTCTCCAAGGACTGGTCCCACCTTACAACATGTCCAAAGTATGTCAGACAGAGCTGCAGAATCCTTGCCTCCAAGGAGCAGCCTGGTTTCACCCTCTCTAGTGTGAACTTGTTTGTTCTCCTAGCAGTCCATGGTATATTCAACACTCTTCTCCAGCACCACAGCTCAAAGGTATCAATTCTCCTTCTATCATCCCTAGTCATTGTCCAGATTTCTATAATAAAATTAATTGAACTATTTTTTTAAAAAAATATTTGAGACAGGCAGGAGAAAAATTAAATAGTTATACATGAGGACATAAGGGTGAGGATGGCAGAGGTTTCTTATTGGGGCAATACACGCAAGAAGAGAGTGGAGCAAGATCTTTAAAGTTCTGGACAAAAAAGAAAACATGTCAGCCTCTAATAACCCCCAAAAATTATCTCTCAGAGAGCAAAGGGAAATAAAGGCATTTCAGATGTACAGAAACAGAAATCCATTCTCACCAGCAAACTCACATGCCAAGAAATGTTAAAAGCAGCCATTCAGGCGGAAGGAAAATAGTATCAGATGAAAACACAAGTCTATTCAAACGAATGAAGAACAAACACAAGGATGGTTACTACGTGGATTAAAAATACAACCTATTTCTCTTAAAAATGTAAGCTGTATTATTAAAAGAGAAGTGGCCATGGTAGAAAAGAAAAGAAAAAGAAGAAGACATTACAAAAGTAAAGTAGATGAGAACAATAGCACAGACTGGGAGAGCAGAAGTGGATGTGTAGATCTGTACCACGTACTGTTTATAAAGTGGTACCAAATACATGAACTGAACACACCCCAGGGACAGCCATTGTTAAGCACTAGACAGTATAGAACAACTTCATCCCTTTTCTTGAGGAGTTTCCCTCCTCCTGCTGTGTCTCAGGAAGCTTCCTTGCCTTTTTGGTTTGACGTGATGACTAGCAGAGCTGCGGGGTAGGACATCTTGTTCAAAGTGACCATCTGTCTTAGTCACCCAGTGCTACCATAATAATAATAATAAAAAAAAAGTCACAAGTGGGTGTCTTTAAAGAACAGAAATTTATTTTCTCATAGTTCAGGACACAAGAAGTCTGAATGTGGGATTTGGTTCTGAGGAGAGGTTGGCTCTTGTATATTACATGTTGTTGCTGTTGTTGTTGTTAGATGCCTCCAGTCAGCGATGACTCACAGCGACGCTGTTAAGGACAGATCTGAACCTTGTCCCATCCTGAGCCATCCTCCCCAACTCTGATAACCTTGAGCCAATTGTTACCTCCACTGGGTCGATCCTTCTTGCTGGTCCTGAGGAGAAAGATGGGCCGTCCCCTCCTGTGCAATCTACCACCTCTGAAAACTCACTGGAGGGTCAGCGATGAGTAGGGTCTGTCTGGATGTCAATGAGTTTAGGGCTTTTACTCTGTTTCAGGCTCTCTGGCAGAACAAAAATAACGACCCATTTCCAAATTGTGTCATATTTCTAGGTATAGGGGTTAGAACCTTCACATTTCTTTTGTCTACTTCCCCCTCCACTTGTCTTTTCGAAGGACGAAGTGAAATCTATAAAATAAGCTCTTAAATGTTTCAGTCCTCCATGAACAATGCAGAAGATGCTGCTTTGAAGGTTACAGCAATATGCGGCTGTCTTTCTCTCTGCCTCTCTCTATCTCACTGCTGTCAAGTCAGAACAGACTCATAACTGACCCTCTGTTGGGTCTTCCAATGTGGTGAATCACACAGGAGGAGACTGTCTGTCTTTGTATCTTCCACCCTGGAAGCCACAGGCAGGTTCAAAGAATCAGAGAGGCGAGGTCTTTGAATTAGCAGTGAAACTCCTTACAGACAGACATACTGTTACATACAACAAACAATTCAAACTATGTCTAGAGGATTTTCTATAATTTCATTTCCAGGTCAATGAGACTACAGTCAAGACCAGATCAGCAGCCCTCACATTAATTCACCATAAACCCCTAAAATTAATAATATGCATTCTCCAAGCTTGTTTCAATCAGAAACACTAAATTATTTCTACTTAGGAAGATTCCAAGAACATCTATTTTTAATTGGGGAGTTGAATGTAATGCTGAGAATGGATCTAGCAATGCCAAGGTCATGTCTGATTGAGGACTATGCACAATTTAACCTGGGGGTTAGGGGGGAGTGTGGAATGTGTTGTTCAGAGCATCCCCTAACCCAATCTTAGAGCAGAAGGCTGTGTGAACAGGGGGGGAGAGAGACCCAAATGCCTCAGATACTCTCTTTGCATGGACTCATCCCATTCCCATGGTGCGAGTCTATGCAGCTCTTGTAACCACAAAGGGAGTTTAATTCTGTAGATACAGGCTCCTGACATGCACTGTCCCAATATAAGCAGGTTGCCTAAGTGGGCTGCCACCATTCCAAGCCAAATTTCATTATAATGGACCAGAGTGTCCGTGACTGTAATCTAATTTCACAAGAACATGGATCTGTACAAAATGAAAAGAGAAACAGCCCATTCAACCTACAGGACAACATCTAGTACCCTGTTAAGTGCCTCCAGTTCATATCCGAAAGGCCTTCCAAGCATTTTCATTGTACAACTACCAGAAATTACTTTGGATGAATAAAGCTTCAATTTCTGCTCCTGGCATTTATAGTAAAGGCTTTTATGTACTTTTATGCTACAATAATTATATCATTCTATCATGCTGTTGTAGTTATATACTGTCAAGTCAGAACTGACTCATAGTTGAAACTCCACCAGGTTTTCGGAGGCAGTAAATCACACGGGAGGAGACTATCCATCCTTCTCCTAGAGCAGCTGGTGGATTTGAACTGCATGCCTTTGGGATTACAGCACAGCTTGCAGCGCAGCTTTTTTTTCTTTTTTTAAAATAAATTTTAATCAAAGTTTACAGAGACTTTGGGTTCCCAGTCATTCATTGTTGTACTTTTCTCCCTGCCCACCCTTCACCCCAATTCACTCTTCTCCTTGAAAAGAAAAAGAAAAATTCTTTCATTGTTATGCAGTCCCACCCCAAGTCCATTCCACCGAATAGCCTTCACTCTGGACTTCTATAATGACAAGAATACCCATTCACATATCCCTTTTAAACAGTTCTCTCCCTCATCTGTTTCAATGGAATATACATCATTCCTCCTTTCCTTCTGTCTTCCCTCAACCCCAGTGTCAGTCCTGTTTTACAACAATGGCCCTATGCAGTATTTGTCCTTTTGTGACTGAGATATTTCACTCAGCTTAATGTCCTCCAGGGTCATCTATTTTGCATAATATCTCATGAGTTCCTTGTTTTTCAGTGCTGCATAGTATTCCATTGTGTGAATATACCAGAGCTTCTCTGTCCATTCGTTTGTTGATGGGCACTTGGGTCATTTCCAGCTCTTTGCTATTGTGAACAAAGCCGCAATAAACATGGGTGTGCATGCAGCACAGCTTTTTAATACGAGACCACCAGGGCTCCCTAATCAGCTTACAGGAGGCAAAACTGAAGAGATGAAAGTTTCAAGGACACGAAAGAAAAGAGCAGGAACCTGGTTGGTTCCACCTCGTCACTCCTAGACATTTCAGAAGAGAGAAGAAAAAGTGAGACATGATCTCTTATCACACACAGTAGTTTGACCCACTGGCTAAGAAAGGCTATTCCTTGGAGAAAGACATCAACCTTGGAAAGGTGGAAGGAAGGAAAAGGAGAGGAAGACCCTCAGCCAGGTAGATTAGCACAGGAACTACAACAATGCGCCTGAGTGTGTCAGAGATTGTGGAGATGACACGGGAGTACAGGGTTCAGATCTGTTGTTCGTAGGGTCGCTATGGGTCATACTCGACTTGATGGTTTCTAACCAGTGTCTGCAGAGAGCTGACAACTCATTCTAGCAAATGGCTTACACACAAAAAAAAAGAATAAGGAGATGTGGGGAGAGGCCACCTACCATGGGCCTGAGGTGCTGACATGCCCTTTGCTGGGCTTGCCAGGAATGCAAGGCCCCAGCCATTGTTTACCTGGCCACGTCTCAGGATTGTATCTGCAATGAGCAACTCTGGAAGGTGAGGTAACGTCTCTCCCCAGACAGCCCTGTTAACTCTCATTATAAAAGCAATGCATTCCCTAAGCACTGGGTTCCTCTCAACACAGAAACACTGCCTGCGTGGACGTCCATCTAGGCCCGCCTGCACTGGCCTGTGGGGTTGGGCAATTGGGGAGTTAGCGTGAACATGAGGCTCTGGCTACCCCTCTTGCCATGAGTAATAATAGAGCCCTTTCTCTGTGACCCAAGAGTCTCCTCTCTGGTTGTCAGCTTCCATAACATGGTGACAGGCTAACTTGTGTGTAAAACCTCGGGCCCTTCTCAGTTCCTGAGAGCAGGAGAGTTAAATGTCACAGGAAGAAACCTGAATTCATTCCTGCCTCTAGAAACTTCCTCGCCACCAGACCTTGAGAGACACAGAAATGGATCCACATTTCCTTCTAACCGCAATCACCATTTAAGAGTTACTAACTCAGGAAAACTTCCTTAAATTCCTTGAGTTAATTCCACTAAGTCTTCAACCCCTTAGAGTCCTGAAACAGTCTTATTTTTATATTTGTTTCATTATTATGTTAGTTTCCTAACTATAACTTTAGATTCCTAACTCCCTGGAAATAAGGAAAAAAATTAACACTGTCATCTCTTTCATTGCCATAGTGTTAGAACTGGCTTATAACTGTCCCTCCAGCGGGTTTTTGGAGGTTATATTCCATATAAGAGATAATTACCTATCTTTCTCCTGCAGAGCCCCGGGTGGATTACAACCTTGACACACAACTTTCCTGATTTTAAAGTGTACAGTATCCTCTTGTTCTGTTCAAACATGTGCTTTTTAATTCATGTGCAGGTTCCATCCCAGCACATTCGTGTGTCTGGAATTTATATCCTTCTCAATGTGATCCTTGTAGAAGGAGGAGTGGCATCCACTTCCATAATAGCTTGCCTCTGGAAACCCTGTGAACCTGGAGAGAGGATGAAAGGCACCCAAGAGTCGAGGACTCTCCTTCATAGGGTCGCTATGAGTTGCCTGCGACTCGACGGCACTTAACAACAACAACAACCTCTAGGTTAGTTAGGAGAGTAGCTCTCTACACAACTCTAGTAGAGCTCCTAGTACAGATTTATTCCTTCTGTCTGAAAGTAGAACACTCCTATGCAACATAAACAGAGAAGGAATAAAGGAAAAAGCAATTGCAATTTTTTGAAAAAATTTATTCATTTATTTAATATTTTTTCCTACTTGCTGTTGTTGTTAAGTGCCGTCAAGTCGCAGGCGACTCATAGCGACCCTATGAAGGAGAGTCCTGTATGCTTGGGTGTCTCTCATTCTCTCTCCAGGTTCATAGGGTTTCCTGAGGCAAGCTATTACGGAAGTGGAGGCCATTCCTTCTTCCAAGCTTGTTTTAATTGGGGAGCTCCACCCCACTGTAATTTATAAAATTTAATACAAATTTGAACAAATTCTATTTTCCTCACCCCCCCCACCCATCAAATTGTACAACCCACTGATTAATCCTCCCTTCCCCCTGCACATCCACATCCTTCTGCTTCTAGACTCTCCCACCCCTCCTGTGCAGTTTCTTTACAATGGGGAAATGTTTGGAGCATTTTCTTAGCTACAACATAGATCTTTATAGAAGCAGACTGCCACATTTTCCTCCCCTGGAGTAGCTGGTGGACTCAGATTTCCAACCTTCCAGAATCAGCAGTCAAATGCTTAACCTCTGAGTTAAGGCTCCGGCCTAGAGTTATGCTGTCAAGTTGGAACCGGCTCTTAGCTGACCATCCAGCAGATTTTCAGAAGCTGTAAATTGCGTGGGAGTTTATTATCCATCTTTCTCCCACAGAGCAGTTGATGGGTTCAAACTGCATGCCTTTGGGTTGACAGTACAATTCCTTACCACTAGTCCAAAGTTCTAAAGAATAAAGATGTCAGTCTAGATACTCAAGTGTGCCTAACCCAGGCCACAGTCTTCACAATTACTTGCTATAGATCAGAGAACTGGCCAGTGAGGCAAGGATTTTGAAGCTCCATCTCACATACCTTGATTACATGGCCAAGAGGTCCTTGGGGAAAGACATCTGGCTTGGAAGGGTAGAAGGACAGTGTAGGAGAGGAAGACACCAGATGAGATGGAATGACAGGATAACTGGGGCAATGGGACTTGGTGTGTCAGAGTCAGTGAGACTGGCTCAGGACAGGGCAGGGTTCAGAGCTGTTGTGCATATGATCACTGAATCACAGGCAACTGGATGGCACCTAACAGTAACAACAGGCCGCCAGAGCTCTCTAACCTAGGGATTGTTGTGTACCATCAAGTCAGAACTGACCCATAGCTGAATCTCCGGTAGGTTTTCAGAGGCAGTTAATTGCATGGGAGGAGATTACCCATTCTTCTCCCGTGGAGCAGCTGGTGGGATTCAAACCGTGTGCTTTTAGGATTGCAGCGCAGCTTCTTGCCATTAGGCCACACCAGAGCTTCCTCTGGATTAGGTGCATTAACTTGGGTCCTTTGAAAAACGGGACGGAATTAGATGTACAAGAGGTTAATTGAGGAGAACACCTGTGAGGGAAAGGAGTGGAGGAGGTGAGGGAGAGAGGATGGAGGCAGGGTGAATCTGCGTCTTAGACTGCAGGGCACAGAGAGAACGCTCTCCGGGGCCAAAGGAGGGCCCATGTCACCGCCACGCCTGGGCGACGTCCCATACCTGTCGGGAACAGGCCTGCATCAGGACCAGCCTCGCCCTCCGCCCCTGGCTGGGAGCAGCCTGTGCGAAGCAGCGTGGTCTCCGCAGGATGCAGCGCTGTATTCCAAGAACAGCAGCTGGAGCTGTCAGACGGGCGCTGAAGCAGGAGATCTGAGCACATTTTCATGTTACGGAGGCGTCAGGACCCCAGGTTCTCACCAGATAGCAGATTCATTAGCGGATAAAAGAAACAGCTGCACAAAACCCACACTGCAGTCATTGAAGGCAAACTGCTAGGGGCGCTGCGGGCTACGTCACAGTGTCCTTTGTGAGGGGTCAGGAAAAGCAGCTCCTGCGGCTCAGAGCCAGGCACAGCTGATCCTCCTGCCTAGGTGGTATGTTGTCATTTTGTAGACAGGGATTTATCACCCCCCCCCCCAGCTGCGGCTCTCTTTGTCTTAACTGCTGCAAAGCTTACAGCCCAATTTGTGGTCTGCTTCTCCTTTTTGAGGCTACCCTTTTAAAAACCCTTCTATTCTTACCTTTCCAGTGGCCTGGTCCGCAGGGAGTTGCCCTGCTAACCTGAGCCTCTCTGACGATTCAAATCCACTAGCAATCCTGAGGGGAGGAACGGTGGGCGGTCTCCTCCCGTGCAATGTATAGCCTCCCAGAGCCTATGGAGGGTCAGCGAGGAGTCGATTCTTGACTCAACAGCAATGAGTGAATGAGTGATTATCCCTGTAGTCAATGCTGCTGTCGGGTGCAAGTGATTGAAACCTTCTGGAAGATAGGGAACAGCCTCCTTCAGTTATCCTGGTTCCATTTAGCATTCAAAGTACCAGACTGGACTTTGGTTTATTGGTTTAGAATCCTTTTGTATGTGAATCACACCCTTTAGTACTAAGAGAAGTTGAATGAATGGCAGCCACAATTTTTCAAAAAGGGAAACTAAGTGAAATGAAGAGAATTTTGAAAAGTCAGTTTGTGCTTCACACTGAAAATCCATCTCAATTTGGACGAGCCACACTTCCAGGTCTTAAGGGCCACACATGGCTACTGGCTCCTGTATTGGACAGGAATGGTCAACACACAGACTGTGAGTGACCAGAGATTCAGAAGATATAATCATGATGCCTCCAATGGGGATTTATAGTGGATGATAGAAGACGATAGAAGAAGTATCTGAGGTGTTTTTGTTTGTTTTGTTTTGTTCTATCTTTATTGTTGTTATTGAGTACCTAGGAGTCAGAACCAGCTCATGACTGGCTTTTCAGGGGCAAGAAATTGCACAGGGGTTGACTGCCCGTCTTTCTTCCACAGAGCAGTTGGTGGATTCAAACCACATATCTTTGTGTTGGCAGCCTGATTCCTTATCACTAAGCCACTACACAGATCTCCTTTCTAGCTTTAAGAAAGGATGAATCCTTCTGACCGAAGCAATGACCATGAGAATTCTAAGTTTTCTGCTATATTTAAAAAAAAAAAAAATCCTCTGTTTCTTTTCCTTCACTAAGGAGATCTGGTAGCACAGTACACAGGATGTTGGGCTGCTAGCTAAAAGGTCAGTGGTTCAAATTCACTAGCTGCTTCATAGGAGAAAGACAGGTATGCTCCTCCCACAAAGATTCACAGCCTGGGGGAACCCCATTGGATGCTGGTGAGGAGTCAGAATGGACTAAACGGTTTGGGGGAATCCTTCTGAGACGATAATACAAAATGCTTATGCTACCTACTAAGAGGGAACAAACGGAAGACGTACATTCCTTATTCTGTATTTCATCTTGAGATGTCTCTAAGACATAATGTTGTTATTGTCGATGTGTGTGTACTCCATAGCTGACCCCTCTGGTGGGTTTTCAGAGGCATTTAATCACTTGGGAGGAGATTGCCCATCCTTCTCCCATGGAGCAGGGGGTGACCTCGAACCACGTGTCTTTGGGATTGCAGTGCAGCTTCTTGCCACTAAGCCACCAGAGCTACACAAAGCTATAAATCCAAAGAATAGAGAGAAATTTTAATCAACATATGAACAATGAAAATATCACACTTTCCTTGTTTAGGAACCATTTCTAAAACCTTATACCTTAGTTTGGATAAGAAAAGTGTTTTTCACTTTAAGATTGGAAGACTAAAATGTGCTTAGATTACTATGAGGTATGAATTTAAGTTTTCAGGCAAGTTATTTAACCACAGAAAAGTTATTTCATTTCCCCATATGTTAAATGAATTTATCTGCTTCACTCAATGACTGAGATAAAAAATATTTTAAAAAAAGCTTTGCAACAGGCAATTGGTGAGCATAATAAATTGTACATATTGTCATTGTTAATCACAAAGGCTATTCAAGCTAAAGCTGTCTAACCTGGGATCCCTCAGTGCATGGATGAAATATCGGGGTGGGGGGAACCCTATAATTGGAAGAAAAAAATCACACCTGTGTTTTCACTAACCTCTGGGAGGTTAGGTCAAATCTGGGAGTCTGATGGCTTACTTAGTGGTATGGAATTGTGCTGCCAACACAAACGTACATGGTTCAAATCCACCAGGTGCTTCAGGAAGAAAGATGGGTAATCAACTCCTATTTGAGGTACTTCATCTGAAAACCCTCTGGAGGATCAACTATGGGTTAGTTCCGATTTGGTGGCACACAGCAACAACAACTAAGTGAAATTTCACATTTATTAAGGAAGCCTAGTGGTGCTGCAAGTTAAACATCTGGGCTGCTGGCTGAAAAGTTGACTCTAACCCATCAGCTGTTTTATAGGATAAAGGTGGGACAATCTCCTTTGGTATAGGAATTATAGCCTCAAAACCCCTCCGGGGAAAGTCAGCTCTATCCTGTAGGGTGGCTGTGAGTTTAAATCCACCTTAGCAATGTTGGAATTTTTTGTGGGTTTGTTTTTGTTTTTTGTTATGCGTGTAGGCAACATCACAGTAGCACTAGAAGAATCTGTCGTTCTGCATCCATAAAAGTCACAGGTATTTCATATTACATTTTTAGTGCCAAAATCTCAAAATAGCTTTCATGCTTATGACTTTTTAAAATGATCAGTTATTGGACTCACTGATAAACCTTATTGATGCATTAATCAGTTCTTGTGTGTTAAATGTGTTTTTAATTTCAGTATAATTGATTTTTCCTTTGTATTTTCAGCAATATTCAGGGAAAGGATTTCACAAGCTTCACAAGACTTCTAGGCATCAAAAAAAGTATGAAGACTCTAACTTGTCTTGGCTTCCAGAAAGCCAACCACGTTTGCTAACTTGAGTACCTGCCTGGGTAAGCCCATTCCTAGGGCCCATTTTATGGTTTTTTTTCTGAGCTTAAAAGTGTTTGCCTTGCTATGAAGACATTGCAGTGCTTGGCTGGCTCTTTATCGTGTAATCTGTTTGCGGAGTTCCTCTTCCTGCCATATCTGACATCTAACCTGTTCAAGGCTGTGTGTTCAACCTTGAGTGTTACATAGGCGGGTGTCCCGGCATGTTAGCTGACACATCCTATGACCCCCACTAGATGCCCCATACCTGCGAGGGCAACGATTCTCAAATAAATCCCGGATCAGCATCTGCATCACCTGGGAGTTTGTTTGAATTGTAAAGTCAAGGGTTAGCTTCGAGACAGGTGCATGCCCAAGTTTGAGGGCCTCGCTCTGGGGAGCCAGAGGTCACAGAGAACGGAGGGCGACTGTCACCTCTGATTTTAAATGCAGACCAAAGTGAGTGGGGTTTAGGTGGCTTATGCGTAAGGAACTGCACTGCCAACCCAAAGAACACCGGTTCGAATCCACCAGTTGCAGAGGCTGTAAACTAGGCTCAGGCTAGGCTAGGCTCAGGCGATTTACTCCTTTGAAAATCCGCTGGAGGGTCAGCTGTGGGTTCCGACTTGATGGTTCTCAACAACAGGTGTCGAGGTTTACTTGCATTAATAGGGGGTTCGAGGGTGATTGATGGGGTACTCTTCCAGCCCCCCCCTCCACGCTAGACTACGACTACATTACGGGACTCTGCCCTCTTCCTCTAAAAGGGAGCCGAGGGGAAGAGGAGACCAGAGGGTGCGGGAACCACGGCCAACGGCCGCCGGTCCCCCATCAGCCGCAGCCATCGCGATCCCTACGAGCCGGAGAGCCCCGCCTCCTGCACGCCCTCCCGTCACGCCCTCCCGTCACGTCTCGGGCCGCTCACGCAATCGGGCGCAGCGCCTGCCGGGAATTGTGGTCCCGGAAGTCCAGCCGACTCCAGGCTTCTTCGGGTGTCTCTCGCCTCCGGAAAACTACAAGTCCCAGGACTCCAAGCGCGGGGCCGATTACGTATGAGGGGCGGCGGGAGCGGCTAAATAGTCTCCACCGGCCATTTTGCGGGAGAAGCCGCAGCGCCGCCTCTTTGCTCGCGTCGTCTCCTCCTTCATTGCCACTGCCGCCTCTTCCTGCCTCCTCCCGGCTTCCGCCGCCGCAGACGCTCCCGTCGGATCCCAAGCTCGGGACGAAGCTTCTCGCCTGATTCGCTTCCCCTTTTCTCGCCAGTGAAGCGTCCTGACACGGTGATCGGGCGGGCCCCGCAGGCATTTTATCCGCTCACCGTCCTCACACTAGTATCGCATGTCCACTATCCAGAACCTCCAATCTTTCGGTAAGATCCGCCCCGCGCGCGCCCCGGGCTGCCCGCCGGCAGCATCACCCCCCACCCCCCTCCTGCACCCCGAGTGGGCTTTGTCTCGGTGCCCGGAAAATGGCGACCGGGTCCCCGGCGACCCCCCGCCAGCAGCTCTCCCCGCCCCGCGACCCCGATCCCCCCACCCGGACCCGGCTGGCGACCCCGGCGCGTCCCCTGCCCTGCCCTTGACCCCGGGGCCCCCGATGGGGACGCGGCCGGCTCGGGGCGGCGGGGGCGGGGAACCCCGGGGTCCGCGTCCAGGAGCTCTGGGCGCAGTTCTGAGTCGCGTTTCGGGGACCCCCCCCCGATCTGTCCCCCACGTCTGCGGGGTGGCTGCTGAATGCGATGCTCTCTGCAGCCTTCCCAGCTTTGTGCGTGTAGATTATGCACATGGGTGTGTTGGGGGCCCAGCGGTGCGCTGTCCCCCGCGAGGGGCCGGGAGGTGATGGGGATGACGCACATTTTTATGATGCTGCAAACGGAGGTGTTTAAAAATGTCCTCGCGGCCCGTGGAGGCCCGGGGGCCCTGCATCTCGATCCTCCGTGTTCGAGTCCCCGGAGGTTTGATGGGAACCCCCAAGCCGGTGCTTCGTCCCTCCAGGAAAGCAGGGGCCCTAGCACCGACTTTACTGACCGGAGCCCTAGCACCGACTTTACTGACCTGGGGCCCTAGCACCGTCTTTACCGACGGGGGCCCTAGCACCATCTTGACCGACTGCCTCTTTACGCCGAGTACTTTGTGGCTGGAAATCTTTAACAGGTCTTATTTATTGTTTTTCTTTTGTGTTTTTTCTTTTTTTCTCTGCAGACCCCTTTGCTGATGCAACTAAGGGTGACGACTTACTCCCGGCAGGGACTGAGGATTACATTCATATAAGGATCCAGCAACGGAACGGCCGGAAGACGCTGACAACTGTGCAGGGCATTGCGGATGATTATGACAAAAAGAAACTTGTGAAAGCTTTCAAAAAGGTAAACACCCCCACCCCCCAGAGGAAATGATGATGCAGCTGTCCCATTTGTGGGTGCAGACCTGGAAACTGAACGGTCATACAAGTCACACCATTTGACTTGAATGTGTTGGTGAGGATGGAAATGAGTGGATCCCGGAAAAGGCTTTGTTCATTCTTGAGGTGAATGTCCAGTGATTTGGTGATTCTCCCAGTTTGGAAGTCTTTAAATTTTACATGGTTTCAAACAAACAGTGAAACCTCATAAAATAATAAGTATTTTGCCTTTGCCACTTTATATGTTTGAGTCTTACATGCCCTGCGGATTTATTTTTAAATGAACTTGGTGGCTTAGGGATTATAAGGAGGGACAAGATCTCTCTCTTAAATATTTAAAAGCAAATGTAACCAAGTGGTGTTCATCTTATGGTGGTCGTCTGAAACCACATCATCATTTGGTTTTATTCATGTGGTGGTTTTACGTCCTTCCCCAGAAATTTGCCTGTAATGGGACTGTGATTGAGCATCGCGAGTACGGGGAGGTTATTCAGCTTCAAGGTGACCAAAGGAAGAACATTTGCCAGTTTCTCTTGGAGGTGAGTAAACAAAGCCATCTGCATGCAACCTTGAGATTTCTTCTGAAATTTTTTTTAAAGACAATGCATTCTCCTATGACTTACAAAATTGGGCTTGATTTGAGAAGAGAGGGACTTTTTCCAGGGTTTTTTGTTTTGTTTTGTTTTTTCCTTAAAGTGACCTGAGAGTTTTGGTGTCTGTCAAAGTGTTTGTTGGAACATAGAAGTTCTTAAGTATTCTGAGTTATAGGTAACGCTCCAGATAATACGTGTTACAATAAACAGTGATTCTTTTTTCAATGACTGACCCACACTAATCTTGATTTTAACTACAGATCGGCATTGTCAAGGAGGAACAGCTTAAGGTTCATGGATTCTAAAATGAACCTAAACACCTGGAGAATTTCTTGAATACTTTTGTTCTCTGCTCCAAGTTTGGCTGCCTTGTGAAATGATTCTCTGCAGTAAAAGGACTTTTCATTTATTTAATCATCCAAACTCCCGTTCACATCTGCATGATTCCAGAAAACACGGGGTATGTAGGCTAGTAACACATAAGAAGATTGCAGTAAGATGGTAACAAAACCCCGCATTCATCTTAACATGTTTCCAATGGAAAAGATTTTGTTTTGAGTGTTTATTGTTTAGTTTATTACTTTTCACTTGATTAAATGTATTTTTGTTGTATTAAAACCCTGTATGTTGTAGCTTAACAATAAAAAGAATATGTCTGAATAATTTTGTGAGAAGTCATGCTTCCAGGTCTAAGCAAATAAGATACACATACACACTTTCTAGTTCGTAATTGGATTTTCATTCAGAAAAGGATCTTAATTAGTTGCAGCTGCTGTTAAACACAGGGATGGAGCCTTTGTTGTATGTAAACTTGTGTGGCTTGTATTTTTCATTTACCGACATGATTATGAGCTCTGTCAGAATCACTGTTTCACTCAGGTCACAGTGTAGGAGAATGCAGAGCTGAGGGGTAGGTCTAAACTTACATGTACTTTAATTGGTCCTGTCAGAAAATGGACTCGTGACAATATCCTGTCAAGAGTTGGTGGGTGGTATCACTGGTAAACAACATGCCTCTCGAAACTGAACTTTGAGAAAAAATAGTTATAAAAAGGCTTCAGGTATTGTTCATAGGGACACTCACAGCCATCAACGACATTACTGGAGTTCTGTTGAAAACCCAGAAGGATCAGGGTTGGAATTCCAGCATAGAGCTTCCAGACAGAAAATTATGTTATCTGTTCACAATAAAATAACATGCTGTGACAGGTTTGGAAGCAGGAGTGGCATCCACTTCCTAAATAACATGCCTGCAGAAACTCTATGAACTTTGATAAATGTCATAGTTGTAGAGGGGCTTCAGGCCTTTTTTTAATAGGGTTGCTATGACTCGTGCTTGGCTCAGGGCAATCTATATCAAAATAGGGGTACGTAGTTGACCAAAAGGAAGTGGTTGATAATACAGGGTGTCTTAGTTCTCTAGTGATGCTTCACTTGGGGTTCTATTAAGTGTATTTTCTGAACAGTTAAGGTTAGAAGTCCAAACGTGGTGTCAGCCCTTGGAGAGAGTCTGGTCTTTGTACCTCATGTCCGGGAGCTCTGTAGCACAAAGGTCTGGGTCTAAAGCCTGCACCTGACGATATTTCGATATTTCTTGGTTCTGCGTAAGTTTTCTTCTGCTTTAGAAGCCACACCCTAGGAAGCTTCTGTAACTGATAACAACTCACCCTTAAATCTTTTAATCTATTTGGCTTATCATTATTATGTATTAAATCATTACAGTGCATGGTATTTGGGAGGGAGAGATTCAATCTTTGACAAATGGAGAAAAGGTAACAATTTGTAGGGTTTTGTTTTTTTTTTTAATTTTACTATTTTTACTTGTACCATCAAATCAGATCTGACTGGTACAGGAAGATTGCCCCTTCCTTTTCCAGCAGAGCATCTGGTGGCTTTGAACCGGGTACCTCTGGGATTGCAGTGCAGCATCTTGCCACTAGGCCACCAGAGCTCCCTAATTTGTAGTTCTTACAAGGTGACTTCATCAGATGTCGGCTTTGGCTTTTTTAAATTATGGGTTATTTGCTTAGCTATATAATCTATTAAAACCAATTGGCAAACACGGGAAAAAAGCATCCCCGAGTGTCACTATGAGAGGCAAGTGGTCCACTGCACTGCCCCCACCAGTCCTCTGCTGATAGTCCTTTCAGGAGGGAGGAACTGGAGACCAGCTCCCAGAGTTGTCAGTTTATCTCCCAGCGGATGGGCATTTGCCTGAAGATGGTCGCAAAGTTGGGAAATAATCCACTCTGACCAATAGATGGGAGAAATCTTCCACTTACTTGAGAAACCCTCCCTTACCTACAGCTTGTCATCATTCTACCTTTAGTTAGAGGACGATAAATAAAAAGAACCTCTGCAAATTACAGAGCAGAGTTAACACTTTCAGAATGAAAGTTTTAGAATTACTTGTATAAAAGTTTGTAACGTCGGTGATATGTAAGTTACCCACCGCTGTAAATCGCACAGGTTTCTGTTGATAACATTAATTGATAGCCATCCAAGCATTGTCCAAATACATCTGCTGAGCACTAAGCCAGTCCTCAAAAATTTTTAAGATGAGACCTAGTTAGAGGACCTAAAATGGGAGGAAGAGGGCCTGGAACTTCTTGCCGAAAGATGCAGCTCTTGATGGCTCTGACACGAATGAGGCATGGGATTGTGGTCAGCCTGCACCTCTGCTGTGGAATGAGGGGCAGTGAGCCCCAAGACCTCAAGGGCTCTATGCTTGGAACAAGAGCAGACCCCTAGCCCTCTCCCTTACTGCAAAACAAAACAAAACAAAACAAAAACCAACACCATTTCTTTGAAAGCTTAGAGTCTGAGAACAAGGCTAATTCTT